AAAAACAATAACAATCAACATGCAATCAATAAAGGAACTGAGCAACTTATCAAATCTTGGATACTCTCAAGTTTTTTATCCTTTTTTTGTATATTTATTCACTAAAAAACACTCATTTTAGACCCCAATCAATCCAACATATTTTAATGCAATAAAGTATAAACTGTATTACCAATACACAATAACATATCAATACCCTCAACAAAAACAATTTTAAAAAACAATAATTTGACATAATTCATTGTCCACCCATAACTTATCTATCTAAAAATCAGCTTATCTTTACAAAACAATTATCTTTAAACTAGCACCTGTAAATGTATCTATTGCAGCCTTTATTTAGTTCCATTGGCCAAAAGAACCACCTAGTTTTAAGCATTTTTATCTGATATTTTATACAAATTTACCAGTTCAACAATTGTTTTATTTCTTGAATCATAAATTACTGTAAATTTCTCTAAATCAATTAGAATATCCCTTAAATCTTCTTCGTCAATAGACTCGGCTTCTTTGCCAAGTGACTTAGCAATGTGACAAACAACTGCATTAAATGCAGTTAGATTGAAACAATTACTGTTTTCCACATCTTCAACAAAACGTTTTACCACCCATTGCTTTGAAATTGAGGATGTTCTCTGAAATAGGTAACATGCTGAGCATGTAATTGCCTTCTTGGTTTCATCGACATTTTCGATCTTTTTTCTACACCTACTGCAGCTATGGTACTTTTGCACACCAGTAATGCCTATCAGCCTCACCATCGCTTTTTTTCGGGCAAAGTCTTGCTCATCAATGGAAGGAGTAGCAATACCAACAATGTCATCCACTAATTCCAAAGTAGAGCCTTCACGAGCACTACTAATATATTGTCCAAATGTGTCATCTTTGTACACAAAGTTTTTAAATTCATAACACTTGCCTTCCATAGCTGTATCGACAAATGACTCCAAGAGAACAACTTTAATAGTTCCAGTTTTGTCTGTCACATACCCTTCTTGCTTCGACAAATTATTGGTAGGGATTTTCTTCTTGCCATACAACTTCATCATCTTACCATTTATGGTAACCGTCTGGTTGTGACAAACCTTGCTTAGTGATGCTACTGTGTTCTCACTCTCAATTGTTGAAGCTTCGAATGGCAGTGGTTCAGCCACCGACAAATGGGTATTCTTCTCGATAACAATGTTCTTGTTACCATACCTCATGTTCTGGCTGAATCTTTTTATTTTGACAGGTGATTTTGTCTCGCATAAGTGTTCAATTTCACTCTTCTTTTCTGGGGAAAAGCAAACACCTCTCACAACATCATCTTCAGTTTGGATTGTGACGTCAAAATACTTCTTTGCACCAGGTTTTCCCTTCATCGGGGACAGGCAATGGATATGACCTGATACAACTTTGTTATTATCTTAAAATGAAAAATACATGTTAATTATTAACCCAATGTGAGAAATACTTTTATATATTTTATAATTTTATTTTTTCGCGTTTTCTGGCACGCGTATTATCAGTATCTGAAATTTAACATAGATATTCGACATGTTGAATAAGTGAACATTTCCCCACACTGTGCGTGCTTCCTGAGCTATCAGCTCAGCGCTTCGTGCGAATGCCACAGTGGTACTTGCCTATAAAAGCAATTAACAGTCGATCCAAACACATTGGAAGTTAAACAACAGGACACTCATTACTTTTTTAACAGTTAACAAATCATCTAAGACTTAACAGCACCAAAAAATAAGTAAGTAGGTTATGTCGTATAGACGTAATAAAAGAATTGGGCCAAAAATCCGCTAATATTTCTTCCAGTACTAATTTAGCAATTATTGAGTTTTTTTGCTCTTACTTGAGTTGTGAAAATAATCCAAAATATGGAAAGAACACACGCGCATTCGCACAAATGCTGAGCCGATAGCTTAGCGTGCATGCACTCTGTGAAGAAATTGTCCACTTGTGCAAACAATTACTCAACATGTGAATATCTGTCGCCGACAGCACGCGTGCAACGCCGCTCACTTGAAGAAGCCGCTCAGCTAACAGCCACAAGTGACGCTCAGCTCAGCTGCTTTCTCTAGTGTTCGCCAGGCGCAAAACACCTTGACCGAAAACACGTAATCAACCTCAATAGCATAGCAGAGACATTGACAACGCAAATGTTTGCCATACAAAAATCTTACTGAAAATCGTGTACCGTAGTGAAAACCAACACGAGCTTGACACCAGTGCAAAAGTAAAACCCTTATATCAACACCACTTTTTACTAAGAATAATTAATTAAAGTTATGTGTGAAGCCAAGAAAACTGTTAGAATTTGTGTTGTGATTGTAATTGTAAACCGTAGCCGTAAAAACCGTAGGCATCTGTAAGATCTGTTAGAATTTGTGTTGTAACTGTAGGCATCTGTATTTTTCATTCATAGTGAAAAGTAACTTTTAAATAAATTTATATTCGACCAGTAATGCGAGCAACATTCAAAGTAAGCACCCCTCTCATGTTTGCACGTGTATCTTCTAACTCTCATCAGTCTCCGACATAGTAAACAAGAATCTGATAGAACTCACCGGATGAAGCCATTTTTCCCAATCTTAAGTTTGAAAGCTGCAAAAAAGAATAAAAACTCTAATTATCATCCACTCCCCTAAATGACAAAGAATTACTACATGATGGAGAAATTAACAGAAAAAAAACAATAATTCATGATTTTCATGCCTCAGAAATCCTCAGAGTAAATCGCCTGTCGTGAGAGAATTACATACATACAAATGCGTAATCGCGCACACAAAAATTACCATAACATGCAGTCAGCGAATAATTATATACAAACCTTGTGATTAGGCCACGTATCGAACAAACTCAACAAAGAACAGTGAAAAAGAACACCTCGACGTACTACCGTCAATTACCACGCTTATTCCGGAAAAAACGTCACATGATCCAACCAATCAAACTAACGACTTTTAGTCATGTGACCTTTCGGTTTTAGTAAAACGATCCACTGTGCCATTACGAGTAAGGTGGTATTTTGAAACTGGAAATCACTGGAATCTCTGCCTTCACGACTAACCTGCGCTTTACCAAAATTCTAAATACCAGTTTAACAAAAGCGTCTTCAGCAATTCTGACGGTGCGTCGATTGATCGCTGAATATGAAAATAATGAATGCAGCGCTAATTCGAGCGAGGCGCTCTTTAAGAAAATTGATCGCAATTAGCAAATGCGGCGCCCTCATTAAATACGATAATGGTAATCGAAAAGCGTTTCGCAGTGTTGCATCTTTAGCCAAAATACACATGCCTTTACCCTGGCACGTCGGTAAATGTGCCCAATTATGCTCAAAATATATTCCTTGGGCGAAGAAATGTTCGTTCTAAATCCCCATCGCCAAAAAGCAGTCGCAAATTTAAAACCAAGTAGCTACTAGACTGTAATCCACATTAAAAAAATGATTAAACATAACAAAAACAACTTTCGGGAAGTTGTGTCAAGAACGTCTTCATATGTCGCTAACCACCATGTAGTTGAAAAAGTGTCCGAATCTGTGTGTGTGTAATTGTTTTTTTTTTAAATATTTCCTTTGTTTAAGTCTTGAAATTTCCACACCAAATGTAACTTTTCAATAGCTTTAATTTGACACACAGCCCAACGTCTGGCGTCAAGTATTTCGTCTCAAAACTCAGAAAAGCTATTTTGGCTTCAAGCTGAATAGGGATGTTTTGGCTTCAAGCTGAATAAGGAGTTATCGTTCCAGTTGTGTGGTGCCACATCTTCGGCAATCGACGAATATATGAAAGATGACGAACGCGTTCGTTCTGCTACTTCCGGTAAATTTCGTTGTTTTTGGAGGAGCGAACCGAAGTTTACCAAACTATGTTGATAATACGTTTGTCAAATTTTAAAGCGAAGGTGTTTGAAGGTCAGTATTTTAAAGTTTGTGTATTTTTGTGACATTCTCTATTTTAATCGCTCGTTTTTCTACTGTGGTTGAGGAATTTCGATCACAATCGGTTTATTAGAGCATACATATTATATATTCGGGGCAAACTTGCCTGCACTGACGGTTTGTCAGGCGCTCTACGTGTCGGAGGTGCACATATCAAAATCAAATCACTGAATCAAATCACATCAAATCAATCAAATAACCTGGAGCCATTGTTGCTCGCACTGGTCGTCATAGATCAGGGTACTATTCACGTGAAAGGCCACGTATCAAAACTAAACGTAGCCATTGTGCAGGTATTGAAATTGAACCCAGCCATTGTGCGGGTATTAAAATTGAACCCAGCCATTGTGCGGTTATTGAAATTGAACCCAGCCATTTTGCTGGTACACTCAGACAAACCAACTCCTGCCAACTTGCTGTTGCAACAATTTAAGACAACTATACTGACGATCTTATAAATACCCAAATATACCTGCCGAATTATCTCAAAAGCCAATTGAATAAGAGCCAAAAAAATAGTGAATTATCCTTATGGTATGTTCAAATGATATACTATAATAATATTTATGTGCCATTATTACTGAGACTTTCAAATGATGTGGAGGAAAATCCAGGTCCCAGGACTATAAATAATATAGTTGACCCTATTTGTACAATCCATGCTGATTTTAATCAAGGTAATGACCTAATGTTTGGTGTGAATGCTGGTAAACAGTGTATAGCCATGTCACTATATGCAATTGTTTACAATGAAATTAAATCAGTCAATATTTGGGACAAGTCAATGTCGGGAATGCTGTTTGTTAGCCGACAATGAACTCAACTTTGTTTAGACATGATTTATTACTCATAAAAAAATGTAACAATACAAAAGAACTCTTTTCAAAAACCTCACGTTCACACAACGTTTTGTTGAGCCTTCCTTTCTTCTCCTGATCAGCGGGAACTCTACTGTATTACTTAGTCTTATGTGCGGGAAAATTCCCAACACTCTTCCCCTATTTGATTTAGAGAGATCAAATATGAACAACTACAACATCTTAAGTTATGAGTTCTATGGTTAACTTTCAAGTTCAAACTCAGCAACGTTCTTGATTAGCTTCTCGGCTTCTTGTGCGGCTTTCCGTTTTGGTCGGAACTCCCTGGCTTCTGCATTCAATACAACTGCTGGTTTAACCACTGGAGGATCATCACATTCTAATTCCAATGGATACAGCTGTTGGACCGCACGGTCGAGATATGATTTTCCGGCTTGTAATCGTACAGCTCTAACAACACCATCTCGACCCTTAATAGGTTTAACAACAACACTTAGGTTCCACTTGCTACGGTTTCGCTCGTCATTCTTAATAAGTACGATTGACCAATTTTGATATTTGATTTTCTTCGTTATATTCGCAACAAACTCTTTATAGTTGCCGTTTCCCTTTATCCAATAAAGGGCGGTAGTACTATCTAGCCACCCAAAGACTGATGTAACTGGATAACTCAACGCATTCTTGACATTGTCTATGAGGTTTGCAGCCATGTGGGCTGATACAAGTTCTAATCGTGGGATAGTCAAATTCTTTTTTGCAAGTCTCGACTTGGCAGCTACTAAGCCTGGATTGACTCCCGATTGCTGGTGCACAAGTGTGTACACGGCTGCACACGTACCGTCAGAACTAGTGTCACCGAACGCGTGGAGATGGACTGCTTCAATCAGTTCTTCAAAGGCTGCGATGCTATGTGGTACTTCCATCTGTTTGGGTAGGGCATTCTCTAATTTTCTCCAACGCTTAAATATCTGGGGTGGTGACTTTGCATCCCAAGGCCAACGTTGATCACATACATCACGGTAGAGGAGTTTACCGACAAGGGATATGGGAGAAACGATTCCAAGGGGGTCATAGATGGAAGCCAGAAATCGCAACATTTCCCTTTTTGTTGTAACTGGCGTGTTGTCTGGAAAGACTGTTGCGATCGTGTCCCTTGCCTTGTTCCAGGGGAGTCCTAATAGCTTTGTTTCACCGGGTTTGACACCAAGCTGTTCCTTGGCATAACTTTGATTAATTTCTGTGGGCTGGCTCCCCCCTTCCAAATCTAGTTTGTTGGAGTGCCACTTGTGTAGAGTGAACTTCCCATGCTTAAAAATTTCCACCGCCATTGATTTCAAACCACGAACTGCTTCTGTAGTCTCTCCACCACTGATGACGTCATCTACATAGAGGTTTTTCTTGATCTCCGCGACTTCTATAGGGTACTTCTGACGCATACTCTCCAAAAGGCATTGGATGGTCCCTCCCAGCAAGAATGGTGACTGCACGAGACCAAAAACTACTCGAGTGATTCTTAAAACTTCAACATTTAACAAGTCCTTGTCCTTGATCCAATGAAATCTTAGGGAATCTCTATCTTGGCCACGTACTTGGACTTGAAGAAAGGCTTGCTCGAGGTCTCCACTCAACGCCACTGGTTTAAAACAATTTCTCATGAGAACTTCCCGTAAGAGATTTTGCAATGGCGGACCAAGCAGTCATTTAATGAGGGACTGCTCTCACTTTCCTTGGAAGATGCATCATATACGATCCGCACCTTTGTTGACTCGGCAGACTTTCGGATCACTGGTCGGTGAGGTAAATAAAATTCTTTTCCTACTGGATCGTTAGTGACTTCCTCCACAATGCCTTGAATCTTCTGATTCTGAATGATATCATCATATTGAGTCAGCAACTCTGGATCTCTTTGAAGCCTTTTCAATAACCCAGACAACCGTCCTATACTGTTTCTTTTGTTGTTTGGTAATGGGTCGTGACCAGGCTTCCATAATAACCTCGTTTCGTACCATCCTTCATCGCTCTGTGTTAATTGCTCTTGGAATTCCTTATAAATGAACTGTTGATAATGTTGCGGGTGGTCCTTGAGGCCTAAAACATCCAGGGAGCACAGTTCTTCATAATCTGCAGCTGGAGATTTGGTAAGATAAATGTTGCTGAAATCAACTTCCTCTCCAGCTGACATCATTGTCCAAACCAAAGCGGTGAGCTCGGCGATTGGTTGGCCAGGGTGACCCAACCTAGGCTTGGTGGTAGTTTTGATTCGAGAATAGTCACCTCCCCCCAAGATGAGGTGAATGGGTAACTCAGCTTTGGTGTCTTCATCATCCATCTGGACTCAACGTAGATGGTGTTTCTGGGATAGAATGTTAGCATAACCAGGATTGGGTATAGACAGGAGAACGCTTTTGGCAACCTTGCTTACTTGGGTTTTCATTTCAAATTTTCCTCTAACATCAGCCATAATCACATCATAGATCTCAATTCTCTGAGTTGTCGATGACATCATCATATCAATATGCCGGTACTCAGTTCGTGAAGGCTGTTTCCTTAGAAGCTTTACCAAATCTGCAGAGATATACGAACTGCCAGCTCCTGTGTCCAAGAGGGCCTTGCATTTTATCCCATTGACAACCGCTACAACAACTGGATATATCACCGTCCCTTTACCAGTAGCCAACATCATTTGTTTAGTTGCACTTCCTTGGTCATCACAAATAGAGGTGTGATGTTTCGCATTACACCGAAAGCAAGTTGTTTTATTTTGACATTCGGATGCTCGATGTTTTACACCAGTGCAGTTGAAACATAGTTTTTTCTCTAACAAGATCTTCTTTCGAGATGTAATGTCCACAACTTGGTCGCAGTCTACGGACTTGTGTAGGGTTGACTCACAGAACACACACGGTCTTGGTTTCCATAATTCCTGCTTCGCATGTAAGAGCTTTCCAGATTTTTGTTGATAATGGCTGGTACCCTTGTGATCTGACTTATGGTCTTCTTCTGATATGGGGTTCCTCACACAGCATTTTCGCAGTGCTTCGACCATCTCACCAAATCCCCAATCTTGCCAATTGTCATCTGATCGTACCAAGTCTGCCCGTATGCCTGGTAATTTATCCAGCGTGCTTCGTGCAAACCCCTTTACTTCATTCAGCTTCCCCATGGTTTCTAATGCTTGTGTATTTGCAACCAGTGTTTTAAAGAAACTATTGATTTTCCTTGCATCGGACCCAGATATGGTTGGTAGGGAAATAATGCTCTGCATATGGGCATTTGCAACTTCACTTTCTTTCCCATACCGTGTCTTTAGGATAGTTTTCGCTCTTTCATACCCTTCGGTAGAAAAGGGCAGACCATCAATGAATGCACGGACCTTAGGAATAAGCAACTCTTTGAGGCAGGACAGCTTGGTAATGGGGCTGATCTCCGCTTTGTCAATTTCTGTTTCAAATTGTCCCCAGAATCTCTGCTAATCCAAATGAGTTCCTTGGAATTTAGATATTACTAACTTGGGCAGCTTTGCAGAATTGCATTGGCTTGCAGACTTCATTTTAACTTCCTCTAATCCCTTTTTAAACTTTCGTTTCAGTTCCAGTTTAGCTTCCTTGAATGCCATCTCTTCCTCATAACGTTTCCTACGCTTTTCTTTTTCAATTCCTCTCTCCTTATCCTTAGCTTTCTGGAGTTCAATTTCGCACAGTTTCTCACTCTGCTGTTTCACTTCACTGATAACATTTTCAAACTCAAGTACAGTTTGTTCTAAGTCACGGCTCCATGTTCTAACTTCTGTGAGGTCATCCCCTTTCTCAATTCTCTTTCTCTGAACTTCCACTTTTAAATCATGAACTTCCTCGATTAACGATTCCAACACTTTGACATGTCTCTCAATTTGTTTTTGTTTATTCATTCCTAAAACACTGGGGGTCTCATCGCTCATAAATTTCAGCATTCGAAGCTTACCTTCCACTTTTTTCAACAGCTCGTCCACGGTTGACATCTTTAACAATTGATTTTTCTCTGGTTTCACTTTTGAGTTATGACTAAACACGATATTGTTTCACGTACGATATTCAATGATTTTCGATATTAAAAGGATCCTGCGGGGTCGCCACTTTGTCGGGAATGCTGTTTGTTAGCCGACAATTAACTCAACTTTGTTTAGACATGATTTATTACTCATAAAAAAATATAACAATACAAAATAACTCTCTTCAAAAACCTCACGTTCACACAACGTTTTGTTGAGCCTTCCTTTCTTCTCCTGATCAGCGGTAACTCTACTGTATTACTTAGTCTTATGTGCGGGAAAATTCCCAACATCAATTCTAAACACAATTTTAGTAAGTGGAAACAGTTTGTATTGTGTTATCAACCAAGGTATAAATAAGAGTTATTCTTATTAACTGACGTCCCTGAGTTTGTAGATATAGATAATCATACCTTTAATTTGCAATACAGTGATTCCTTGTCAGGAGCATTACATTTGAGTGAAAATAGTCTCCCATATGTGACTCTTGAGCATGCTTTGAATGAAGTATTTCATTGTTTAAACTATAAAAATTGTTTACTTACAATTGGTATGAACACTGTGGCAATCATTATGCTTTTTCCTGATGTATTTAAAGTGTTTGATTCTCATTCACGAGATATGTATGGTAGACCCATCCGCATTGCATTATTGTGTTTTGATATCAGTGGAAGGGATAGAAAATCTTGGAGAGTATTTTCGGTTAACATCAAGGTGTAATGAAGCAAATATTGTTTTGCCATTTGAGGTAAAGGGCGTAAAGTGCATTGATAATAATGATTTAGAAACACTAGTATTGTCTACAGAAGATAATACAAATACAGATATGACAGATACTATTCAGCTACTTGAACAACATAATCTTAACAGAAAGGAAATGAACAATTACAAATAATTGGTAATACATTTAGAAAAAGAATGAGACCAGATGAGTCAACAGAGAAAAAGGAAGCTAGACTTGCAAGAAATAGAAATGCTGAGAAACTAAGAAGACAAAATGAGTCAGCAGAGCAAAAAGGAGATAGACTTGCAAAAAACAGAAATGCTGACAAAGTAAGAAGACAAAATGAGACAGCAGAGCAAAAGGAAGCTAGACTTGGAAAAAAAAGAAATGCTGAGAAAGTAAGAATACAAAATAAGTCAGCAGAGAAAAGGGAAGCTATACTTGCAAAAAAAATAATGCTAAGAAAGCAACAAAAGAAAATGAAACTACTGAGCAAAGAAATGCAAGAATTGCAAAAGATAAAGAAAGAAAGAGAGCTTCTAGAAAAAATACTTGCTCTGTAAAGCAAAACAAAAGTATTGAATCACATTCAGTTTGAAATATTGCAAATGCTGAGAATTGTTACTTGCCTAGTGAAGATATTCATACATTGACACTTGTGAGAAATTTTCATGAGTCTGTATCTACAGGACCTTTGTATGTTTGCACTTGCTGTGACCAGTTATGGTATAAACATTCTGTTTCTCTGGCAGACAGAGTAAGAATGCTCAATCCTGATATAACCAAGTATCTACAAAATATAAAAAGTGTTGATAACATTGAATGGCTTTGTCAAACTTGTAACAACCATTTAAAGAAAAGGAAAGTCCCCCCTTGTGTAATTGCTAATGGCATGAAATTTCCAGAAAGACCTTCTTTCTTTGATCTAAATGAACTAGAATGTCGTCTTATTGCTCCTTGGTTGGCACTCAAGATCACTGGTAATGTTGTCAATGTGCCTGCAGATGTAAACAGCACAGTTAATGTGCTGCCCAGACTATCAGATGAGATGGGTACTATTAAAGTTCAACTCAAACGAAGATTACAATTCAAAAGCTCTGCATTTTCAATGAATATAAGACCTCGCAAAGTAATGCAAGCAACTGCATGGTTAATTAACACTAGTGCTTTGTATCAAGATCAAGGAATTATTATTAACCAAAATTGGTTGAGAAACCTGGAAGAATCATTGGATGTGACCTGTGATATTGAAACATCAAATGGTGCAGATGATTTAACAACATTAAACCTCCCTGAAGATGAATGGAGTGAGGATGAAGCAGAAATACCAGCTGGAGTAACTGACAGTATGTTGACTCCTCCAGATTTTGTTAGTGATAGTGAAAGACAGGAAATCTATAATGTTGCACCTGGTGAAGGTAACAGGCCATTGAGTATATTTAGAGATCAGTATTCTGAAGAAATTGCATACCCAGGAATATTTCTTGGACAAAAAAGACCTGATGATAAACAAAGGTTAAGAAGTGTTTACTATAGTGACATATGTAAATCTGAGTTAAATAGATCTGATCGACGAGCTGCCATGTGTGTTGAAAATATATTCTTCAAAGCTAAGAAGTTACAAATGAAATTCTTGATTGGTCAGTCACAGATTGCACTCCGAAAAAACAAAGTAGGTAACAGAATACTTACTGCTGGAGACCTAAAAACTACAGAAGGTTTACAAAGTTTAATAAACCATGATGATGGTTTCAGATTCTTGAAAACACTTAGGGGTTCACCACCTTATTTCGAATGAGCCAAAAAGGACTGGTTTGCCATATTCGTCAATTAGGACCAGCATCATTATTTTGCAGTTTCTCATCAGCAGAAACAAAATGGAATAATTTTTTAAGAATTCTTGGTAAACTGATTAACCACAAGGATTATAGTGATGAAGAATTGAACAATCTTAACTGGGAAGAAAGGTGTCGACTAATACAAAGTGACCCAGTAACCTGTAATACAAAGTGACCCAGTAACCTGTACAAGACATTTTGATTTTCAGTTTAACACTTTCTTAAAAGATGTCTTAATGAGTGAATTTGCTCCATTAGGAAAAATTAAAGATTGGTTTTATAGAGTTGAATACCAACAGCGGGGATCACCTCACATTCATATGTTGATATGGCTTGAGAATGCACCTGTGTTTGGTGTTGATAAAGATGAAGATGTTGTTGCTTATATTGATAGCATAACTACCTGTAGCAAACCAGAAGAAGATACAGAATTACTCGATCTTGTAAATAGACAGACACACAGACATTCTCATACTTGCAGGAAAAAGTCTAAAAATATTTGTAGATTCAACTATCCAAACCATGGAATCAGATGTACTCTTTATCCACTTGATGGAGATATCTCTTCAACTATTGCTAAAGCCAGCAAAGAACTGTGGAAAGAGATTAAAACGAAACTAAATGATTTTAAGAAAGGTAAAGACATTACTTTTGATGAATTAGTGCAAGAGTTAGGTGTTTCGGAACAGCAGTATATTCTTGCTATACGATCATCTTTGAATACTCCGACAATCTTCTTAAAAAGAAATCCAATAACCCTGTTATTTGCCAAATTACCCAAATTAGTTTTTTTGCTCTAATTTCATGACAATTTAAGCAATTACCACAAAACTTGGCCTGAATCTAGAAATTACTCATATACAACTTCTAACACTAGTTACTGTGACCTCAACTTAATGGTCACCATGGCAACAACAAAAAACCACGGCAAAGTAAAAGGCTTGTGGCAGGAATATCTGAGGGGGGAAAATAGATATCAACCTCAAATTTGTTAAGGTGGTTTGTTAGCCTGATTGCTATGCAACAAGTAGCCAGATTTTGATTTCGTCAAATACATCAGTCGAAATCGGATAAAAAGACAGTTTCCATAGCAACAGGCAAAATATTGCAAATTCGGCAAAACTGTCTATTCATTGCATAAATTACTAAAAGATACACTTGCAGTCCAAAAATTGAGGTAATCCATCAAAACCTCTTTTATTTAGAGCTTCCATGAGTTTCGCACTATACAATGTTGTCGGTTTGAGAAAACTTACGTTAAAGATGAACAAGCAATTTTAAACTAATTTACAGCTTAGGAAAAGTACAGAATTGCACTAATTATTTTTATTTGGGTTCCAAAGTGTTTAGGGAAAATAATTCTGTACTATATAACATTAAATACTATATTTGTTTAGATATTATATATATGTGTACATACCAACAACAGTCAGTAGCATCAAGTGATTCAAGTCCTTACTAGCGACATCTGTTGTTGGCACAGCAATTTCCATGCTAGACCCATCCTTGTCCTTGACAGTCCTCTTCCTTTTCTTTTTCTTCTCTTGAAGGTCAGGCTGGGAGCTCAAACTGAAGCCTCCTGGTTGGTATGACTCCTTATCACCCTTGGATTTCTGCATAGCACAAAGTTTCCTTCTCTGGTTCTTGTATTTCTCTGCGACCTTCTTCGCAGCTGTTTGAAATCGAACTCTGTCCTGAAGTCTAAGAGCTCTGATTGAATTCTCTCCAGGAGTAACTCCACATAAAACCATAAACATTGCCTTGCTAGCAGCACCAGTGTTGAAAACTGCCACTGTTTCACAAGCAGCAATACGAACTCGCCGTGCCCCACAAAACTTGGTTTTTGGACATTTTGACCATAGCATTCCATTGGCAGATTCATTTTGATTTTGAGTCATGCCCTTCAAACATCTAAGCAAGAGATCATAGTTGGATAATCTTGTAAAGGTGGGCTCCAACTCTTCCATAAAAACTGGAGGTAGCCGATTATCCTCACTATACGTAGATGTTCCCTCATTTATGTCTTTCCAGTATTTACACCATGTATCACGAGATCTTGGACAGTAATGATGTTGCTCTTGTAGGGGTTTGGAGTCATCCCTAATGATATGGTGTTGAATCGCCTTTATGCTCCTCTTCATTTCTTGTAAATTACCTTTGTTCTCCCTAATAGCTTTCCCGTAATAATTTTGCATCTTGTCAATTGTCTTGTCTGTTAGCCGTCCCTTTCCTCCAACACTCTTGCCATCTGATAATTTCTTTCCTTTGTGATCATTCTTGTACTTCCTCAATGCTGTTCCTAGTCTCTTCTGCACATGTCCCACACACTCCTCCTTCCTTACTTCATAATTTGTCACCAACGCTTCCTTTACCCGCCCGAAGCTGCTGCTGTCGCCATCACAGACAAAGGTTGTATACTTTAGTCACCTTGCTTCAACGCTTCTGCCGAAGATCTCCACAGCTGCAACAGCCTCCATTTCTTCTGAAGAGCCCTGATGGTTGATTTGACACTTTTGTTTATGTCCCTCTTTCCACTGTTTATATTTCTCACTTTCCTTATCCTCTGCGCTATGTGCCTTGCACTCATGACAGAAAAGAGACTTCACTTCATAATCTTGTATTTCCCCAGTGTCCACTGAGATGACAAAAATTACACCAATTTTAGAAGAATGTCCTCTTTTTTGCCAAGTACCATCAACAGTTACAGCAACATGGGCAATGTCTGTCTCACCATCACCATTCTTGATATTGTCTGGTTCTTCAAACAAAATATTTCCTCGCAACCTTTGTGCCGCATCTTGCATCACTTGTTCAGCATGGCTTCTAGCAGTCTGTTCAATTTGAATCAGTGTTCATTGTATGCTTTTTTAGTAACTGGAGGGGGCAAATTCATTCCACCACAAAACTGCGTAAGTCTCGCATGACCAATGTGGTGAGCCGCTAGCACCGATCTGCGATTTACTTCTTGGGACCCACCACCTTTCCCACCTAAACGCTTGCTCGTTGCCAATGGAGTTTCCACCTTGCAGTTGGAGCATTTTAGGAACAAAGACTCCCCTAATCCTTCTCTTTCTCGATTTTTTTGAAACAGCTGAAGCTTTGACTTCGCTTGACGGCAGGAACTACATACAGCGGCTGACGATATGCACTCACTCAAGAGCAATGCATCCTGCAACTTGAATCCGGTAGCCATTTCAACATCACACTTCAACATCCCAACTTCTTTCGCTTTTCGGCGGGTCAAGATACCTTTTTCGCTTTCCAGTTTTGTGAAAGAAGTGTTCAGTAGTCTCTTGGCCGAAATACTCACATTCTTTTCTAGAGCTAGCAACAAGATTAAAAAATTAAAAATTTGAATGTGTTCATGATATTTTACAGTTAACCTCAACCTTAAGGATTAATAATTACAATCCTGTTTGCCTTCGGGCATGGCGAGCAAACATGGCCATTCAATATGTCTTAGATGTATATGCCTGTGCAATGTATATTGTATCATATATTTCTAAAGGTCAAAAAGGAATGAGTGGATTACTAGTAAAGCTTGTGTTGAAGCAAAAGAGGGAAATACAAACATCAAATAGCAAGTTCACGATATCGGGAACAAAATTTTGAATTCTGTTGAAATATGTGCACAAGAAGCAGTGTATATTGTTTTGCAACTTCTAATGCGAAAATCTTCACGTAGTGTAATTTTCATTAGCACATCTCCTCCTTCTGAAAGAGTCGAATTACTTAAACCATTGAGTGAAATAGAGAAAATGTCTGATGAATCGGAAGAAATTCAGTCTAGTGGTCTTTTAAAAAGATATGTGGAACGACCTGATTGTTTACAAAATGTGACACTGGCCGATTGGGCAGCATGGTATGACTCTTGTGGTCAAAAAACATATAAGAAAACAAACAAGACTGACGTTGATAATCTTCCATTAGAAAATGATGATGAAGATAATGACGATGAGTTGTTAAATGACGATAAACTTCAGGTTGTAAAAGATCCTGAAAATTTGAAAATAAAGAAAAGATCTTGAGCTAGAGTGATTCGAAGGCTCTGGTTTAATAAAGAGGCTCAACCTGAAAAACATTATTGAGAGTCAATTATGCTCTTTACTCCTTGGCGGAATGAGCAAACCGACTTGATGGGAAATCATTCTTGTTTTGAAGAGCACTATTTAGCTCAATATGAAGAAATCAGTAAGCAAATGGAACAATATGCTGTTTGTAATGAAGACCTAAATGAAATTGGACATCATTTAGACAAATGTGATGATTATGCTTTTGATACTATAGCACCTGTCACACAAGATGTTGAACGACAAGATCAGGATCAAGGATGTGTTGATACACATCCTGATTTAAACGAAACTTTTGATCATCTGGCAGACAATTTGGGCATACCGTCTTCTTTACCAAATAATGAGCCATTGATTTTAAATGAAATGCAAGATAACGAATATCGAACCTTAATTCAGCTGCTAAATAAGAAGCAAAGAGAATTCTTCTATCATGCTCTGCATTTGATAAAAACGTCAGAAAAGCCATTTTACGCATTTCTTAGTGGAAGTGGAGGTGTCAGAAAGTCTCACCTTATTAAATCGATATACCAGGCAGCATTGAAGTATTACAATTCACGAGCAGGGGACGATTTTCATCGTATTTATAGGTAACGCAATTCACAGTGCCTTGCGCATTCCAGCCAGTCAATCATTGAAAAATTATAAACCATTGGATTCTGGAAGACTGAATACGATGAGATGCGAACTAAGTTCATTAAAGTTAATATTGCTTGATGAGATATCAATGGTTGGCAACAGCATGTTCACCATTCAATTGAACAACCGTTTGAAAGATTTAAAAAGTAGTAAAGAAGATTTCGGTGGTGTCAGCATAATCACAATAGGTGACTTATTTCAACTCAAACCTGTAATGGATGGTTACATATTTACAGATGTTCAGTCATTAAGTTCTTATGATGTTCTTGCCCCGAACTTATGGAGAAAATATTTTAGAATGTTTGAGCTTGATGAAATCATGTGACAGAGAGAAGCAAGATTTTTGCAGAGATACTTAATCGACTTTGTGAAGGTAATCATACTTCGAGTGATCTACAAAACTAAAGGAAAGATGCATTGAAGAGAGTGCTTGTCCCAGAGAAGCCCCACGTTTATTCACTCAAAATGCTTTAGTTGATGAATACAATGATATAGTTTATCAATCATTTGATTGTTGTGATAAATACATAATCAGGGCACAAGATAGCGTAATTGGAGCCTGTTCAGCTGAACTGAAAGAAAAGATAATGAGACAAATACCACATGTTCCTTTGAAAAATTCAAAACAGTTGGCTTATAACTGCATATTGCTGTCAGACAACGAACAGAAATTGCAGTGAATATACGCACTGATGATGGTCTGACAAACGGTGCAAGTAATGTCATTAAGCATGTTCAATTGACTGATAATACTAAACCTTCTGGCATTGTTTGGGTTCAGTTTGACGACGAAGATGTTGGAAAGAAAACCCGAAAAGAAAATAGAATTCTCTATGCTTGAAGTACATCTATACTAAGTACTTGCACACCAATAAAACCAGTTACAATGCAATTTGCTGTAGGTAAAACGAAGTCTGCTCAAGTTGTAAGAAAGGAATTTCCTTTGAGGCCAATGTTAATTTAAATACAAGAAGAGCAATTCCTCATATTCATTACGTCGCTCTAACACCGCAGAAATTGGTGTTTATGAAGTTTCAACCCGAAAATCTGATCACTGGTTCACATTGTGAATTGCTGTATCGCTATCAAAGAGAAAACTATTGAATAACTTTAAAAAGTTCGGTTTTTCTTCTGAATACGCATTCTGCAATCTTTTGACAGCTCATCATACACATCTGACAGCTGTGAAATGGCCATTTTGAGGCTTAAAGTATACACAAGGTTATTAATTCAGACGATTCGTTTTTGCCATGTGCAAGCTTCAAATCTTTTGTGCAAGACATATTTTGCGTAGTATCTATAAATCTTTTTTCTCACCAAGTTTCTTGCCTAAGTATTGAGAATTGCGGCTAAGTATTTTTCAATTCTACCAATTTCCGCGGTGTCCGTCGCTCTAAGCCGAGTAACAACAATCAAAGGGCTGTATATAACTGATCTGTGCGAAAGTTAGATTTCCGTTGATCCTAAAGTTGTAGAAGAAATGCACTTACTGAGAAATGAGTATAAATTAGATATTTGTTTCACTCCGGTGTACATGCTGAATCCCACTGATTTAAAAATTTGCTATCTTAATGCAAGATCTTTGCACAAACACATTGAAGATATATGAAAAGATATTAATTATACGTCTGCTGATATCTTAATTTTTACCAAAACAAGATTTCGTGAAGAAGATCCTGGTGAAATGTACGCAATTGAAGGCTATGAGTTATTCAGAAATGACGACGTTTCAAATCTCAACCGTCCATATCATGGAACAGCTGTTTATTCTAAACTTCCTATGATTATTGGATATCCTTGTGCAAGAAACTGTCATGGGATCGAGGTAACTATTATGAGGACAGTCAAATGTCCAGACCTAATTTTAATTGGAATATACAGATCTCCAACACTTGCATTATCATCTCTTTTGACTGCCATTTCTACGACATTGGAGGAACATCCTTCTCCACAGATTATAATAATTGGAGACTTTATTGTCAACTGGCTTGATGAGATAGAACGAAGATCACTGTAAAATCTTATGATCAATACCAATGGCCTTGAGCAACTTATATCTAGTTCTACAACAGATAATGGAACATTGATTGATCATCTGTATACGAACTTGATTGAAGAGGATATCCAGGCAGGTACTCTTGAAACTTACTTTAGTGATCACAAAGCAATCTGGGCCTCTCTAAAGGTAAGGAAGTTATCACATCCAGACATAGCGTAAGCATGTTACAAGAAAAACCATAGTATTCACATGGTAAGATGAACCCAGGTAAGGAGGTAATCACGTCCGACTATAGCATTAGCATGTTACAAGAACAACCATAGTATTGACATGATTAGATGAACACAGGCCAATATTTATTAGCCTGGCTCCAATTTAACAAAAGGTAAGCATTTAATTTTGAGTTTTTTTTCTCATTTTCTTTTCTCATGCAATTTGACCATTTCCCTTTATTTTTAGGTTCCAGTGGCATATTTTCAAATTATTCACACGATGTCGAAGCTGAAACACTAATAATTTAAAGGTAAATAATAGATTCGTATTGCATACTAGCTATACATATACGTTTGTTTCTTTGATAACACGAGTTTTTGGTTTTTACAGGTCTGAATCAGCTACAATCACAAAGAAGTCTTTAAAATGTCAGCGTTGCTTGGTGCCAACCGCGTGGATCAATGCTAAATTAATTCGAAGATAAAAAGACCACAACACATATATCGGAAATCCTCGTTCCTCTTTCCAGACATCTTCTCTCCACATACCACAACTGTAATCTGTTCATCGCAGCAACGAATGCCAAACAAGAACAAAGTTCTCTGGTAACCTTACTGGTAATTGCTACTCATACCTTCATGGTAACTACTACTGAGCAATACACATTTATATCAATGATGATTGATGCCATTCAATGTTGACTGATTGTCGGACTGATTACCACACGGATAAGATATTGTCAACTGATACATTTAAACTTGGAAGAAGTCACCCAGTTTTTGGACCTACAAACTGGTGCTATTATGTCCAGCTAATTGGTGCTGATAAGTTATCTGTAATCAACATTGCAAACCACCTGTACCTTCCTACTGGATCAATGAAATCATACTATCATCTTCAGTTATAATCCTGAAATGTATTTTCAATAAACTTTGGCAAACAACAGCAAACAAATGGTATAATCTTACTGGAACAATAACGTTTAACCTTTATTGACTATTAACATAACTATAACATTGATTTATCAACAAAAGAACCAATCTTGTATGTAACAAAGACATGCTGATAATCAAGCGACATCAAAACGAAATAATTTGAAAAAGTCTGAAACCTTCTTTTTCTCCTTCTAAACTAAGCTTTATGTTATCAGACGATGTGTGCCACCATCCCGGAACTTAACTCTCTTTTTTGTTCTGTTCACCTATTCTGCTTAAAGAAATTCATTTCCTATCTTTTGTAAAAATGCTATTATATATGTTTTGATCTGTCGTA